TCAACATGTAAGAAGTAGAAAGTACAGGTATTTGAGTTCAACATGTAAGAAGTAGAAAGTACAGGTATTTGTGTTCAACATGTAAGAAGTAGAAAGTACAGGTATTTGTGTTCAACATGTAAGAAGTAGAAAGTACAGGTATTTGTGTTCAACATGTAAGAAGTAGAAAGTACAGGTATTTGAGTTCAACATGTGAGAAGTAGAAAGTACAGGTATTTGAGTCAACATGTAAGAAGTAGAAAGTACAGGTATTTGAGTTCAACATGTGAGAAGTAGAAAGTACAGGTATTTGTGTTCAACATGTAAGAAGTAGAAAGTACAGGTATTTGGGTTCAACATGTAAGAAGTAGAAAGTACAGGTATTTGGGTTCAACATGTAAGAAGTAGAAAGTACAGGTATTTGGGTTCAACATGTGAGAAGTAGAAAGTTACAGGTATTTGTGTTCAACATGTAAGAAGTAGAAAGTACAGTATTGTGTCAACATAATGAAGAAATTACAGGTATTGGGTTCAACATGTAAGAAGTAGAAAGTACAGGTATTTGAGTTCAACATGTAAGAAGTAGAAAGTACAGGTATTTGAGTTCAACATGTGAGAAGTAGAAAGTACAGGTATTTGTGTTCAACATGTAAGAAGTAGAAAGTACAGGTATTTGGGTTTCAACATGTAGAAGTAGAAAGTACAGGTATTTGGGTTCAACATGTAAGAAGTAGAAAGTACAGGTATTTGGGTTCACATGTGAGAAGTAGAAAGTACAGGTATTTGTGTTCAACATGTAAGAAGTAGAAAGTACAGGTATTTGGGTTCAACATGTAAGAAGTAGAAAATACAGGTATTGGGTTCAACATGTAAGAAGTAGAAAGTACAGGTATTTGAGTTCAACATGTAAGAAGGTAGAAAGTACAGGTATTTGAGTTCAACGTGTAAGAAGTAGAAAGTACAGGTATTTGAGTTCAACATGTAAGAAGTAGAAAAGTACAGGTATTTGGGTTCAACATGTAAGAAGTAGAAAGTACAGGTATTTGGGTTCAACATGTAAGAAGTAGAAAGTACAGGTATTTGAGTTCAACATGTAAGAAGTAGAAAGTACAGTATTTGAGTTCAACATGTAAGAAGTAGAAAGTACAGGTATTTGAGTTCAACATGTAAGAAGTAGAAAGTACAGGTATTTGTGTTCAACATGTGAGAAGTAGAAAGTACAGGTATTTGAGTTCAACATGTAAGAAGAAGAAAGTACAGGTATTTGTGTTCAACATGTGAGAAGTAGAAAGTACAGGTATTTGGGTTCAACATGTAAGAAGTAGAAAGTACAGGTATTTGTGTTCAACATGTGAGAAGTAGAAAGTACAGGTATTTGAGTTCAACATGTAAGAAGTAGAAAGTACAGGTATTTGTGTTCAACATGTGAGAAGTAGAAAGTACAGGTATTTGAGTTCAACATGTAAGAAGTAGAAAGTACAGGTATTTGTGTTCAACATGTGAGAAGTAGAAAGTACAGGTATTTGTGTTCAACATGTGAGAAGTAGAAAGTACAGGTATTTGAGTTCAACATGTAAGAAGTAGAAAGTACAGGTATTTGAGTTCAACATGGAAGAAGTAGAAAGTACAGGTATTTGAGTTCAACATGTAAGAAGTAGACAGTACAGGTATTTGTGTTCAACATGTAAGAAGTAGAAAGTACAGGTATTTGAGTTCAACATGTAAGAAGTAGAAAGTACAGGTATTTGTGTTCAACATGTAAGAAGTAGAAAGTACAGGTATTGAGTTCAACATGTAAGAAGTAGAAAGTACAGGTATTTGGGTTCAACATGTAAGAAGTAGAAAGTACAGGTATTTGAGTTCAACATGTAAGAAGTAGAAAGTACAGGTATTTGTGTTCAACATGTAAGAAGTAGAAAGTACAGGTATTTGTGTTCAACATGTAAGAAGTAGAAAGTACAGGTATTTGTGTTCAACATGTAAGAAGTAGAAAGTACAGGTATTGAGTTCACATGTAAGAAGTAGAAAGTACAGGTATTTGAGTTCAACATGTAAGAAGTAGAAAGTACAGGTATTTGTGTTCAACATGTAAGAAGTAGAAAGTACAGGTATTTGTGTTCAACATGTAAGAAGTAGAAAGTACAGGTATTTGGTTTCAAACATGTAAGAAGTAGAAAGTACAGGTATTTGGGTTCACATGTAAGAAGTAGAAAGTACAGGTATTGAGTTCAACATGTAAGAAGTAGAAAGTACAGGTATTTGGGTTCAACTTGTAAGAAGTAGAAAGTACAGGTATTTGGGTTCAACATGTAGAAGTAGAAAGTACAGGTATTTGAGTTCAACATGTAAGAAGTAGAAAGTAACAGGTATTTGTGTTCAACATGTAAGAAGTAGAAAGTACAGGTATTTGGGTTCAACATGTAAGAAGTAGAAAGTACAGGTATTTGTGTTCAACATGTAAGAAGTAGAAAGTACAGGTATTTGGGTTCAACATGTAAGAAGTAGAAAGTACAGGTATTTGAGTTCAACATGTAAGAAGTAGAAAGTACAGGTATTTGTGTTCAACATGTAAGAAGTAGAAAGTACAGGTATTTGGGTTCAAATGTAAGAAGTAGAAAGTACAGGTATTTGGGTTCAACATGTAAGAAGTAGAAAGTACAGGTATTTGAGTTCAACATGTAAGAAGTAGAAAGTACAGGTATTTGTGTTCAACATGTAAGAAGTACAAAGTACAGGTATTTGGGTTCAACATGTAAGAAGTAGAAAGTACAGGTATTTGTGTTCAACATGTAAGAAGTAGAAAGTACAGGTATTTGTGTTCAGCATGTAAGAAGTAGAAAGTACAGGTATTTGGGTTCAACATGTAAGAAGTAGAAAGTACAGGTATTTGAGTTCAACATGTAAGAAGTAGAAAGTACAGGTATTTGTGTTCAACATGTAAGAAGTAGAAAGTACAGGTATTTGTGTTCAACATGTAAGAAGTAGAAAGTAAAAACTCATCAGAAAAATAAGTAGTGGAGTTAAGTACTGATACCAGAAAAATATACTTAAGTACATTAACAAAGTATTTGTACTACAACCAATCAGTGGAGGGGATTGTTGTTCTCTCCAGATCAATAACACCTCTCAATCAGAATAAATCAGAAGGTAGGTTGACACGTATGAGGAATTTGACTTGATGTCGTGGTGCATACATAAAAGTAAAACTAAAATGAAAAACACAGATAGAGAAGTACTTTAACACAGAAGTCCCAGTTCGAGACATTTTGATTTCACTTTCAAATTAGTATTTCTAAATCTCCCAAATCTGGACCATGATCAGTTTCTGTCTAATTATATTTACTTTAAGTTAATTGGAAATATATAATGTGACCCTGATATAAAAAGGTAAAGTTCACCATCTAGTGGTCAAAGTGGAGAATCACCTTTCTTCACAATTATTCATGGTTCTTAAAACATGTAATTTCTGTAATAAAAAACAAGCTTCAAATGGATTGATTTGCATAACAAGGAAGTACATTTTACCTCCTATATTTAGCTGGAGTTACATTGTAATACTTGCAGGACTTTTACGTATGAATGCATTTTGTTCGATTGGTGAATTTGTTAATGAAATACAAATGTTTTTTTGTAACACATCTGATAACAAAATGAACTAGAATAGGTGTTGGAAAGCTCAGAGCCCTACTATATGAAGTTTAAAATGTAAAAATAAATATACATTTCACAGTCGGGAACCCCTATTTCCCATTATTCCTTCAGCACACGAATGCAGCATCATTCTGTTTCCCAAAGTTAAGAGATATTGTGTTTGTCTTCATGATATCAGACGTGTTGGGTTGACCCGGTTCTGTAGTATTTCTAAATCTCCCAAATCTCGACCATCAACCGTTTCTGAATAATGTACTTTGACTTTAGGAAGTTAATTGGAAATAACTTCATTATTTGTTTTGGACACAAGTCTCATGTGACCCTGATATAAAAAGGTAAAGTGCACCCTCTAGTGGTCGAAGCACAGAATCACTTCAATTCAAAGTCATTCCATTTGACTTTCATATACAATTCCTAAAATATTTGTTGTAACACATCTGATAACTAAATAAACTTGAATAGGTGTTGGAAAGCTCAGAGCTCTTCTATATATATAGTTTAAACATTTAAAATAAGTATCAATTCCGATCACATTTCAGTCCGGGACTCGTATTTCCCATTATTCCTTCAGCACGTGAATGCAGCATCTTTCTGTAAAAGAAAGTAAATATCAATAATCTGGGATTTCCCAAAGTTAGAAATGCTTTGTGGCGCCTCAGTGTTTCTCCTTGACTCCTTGATGCTTCCACTTGTGTTCATGATATCAGACGTGTAGGTTTGACCCGGTTCTGTCCCCCCCCCATAATTTTAAAATGTAAAATAAATATCAATTTCAGACTAACTTTAGGTGTCGGTTTGACCCGGTTCTGTAGTATTTCTAAATCTCCCAAATCTCGACCATCAACAGTTTCTGAACAATTACTTTGACTTTAGGAAATGACTTGTTTAGAACACAAGTGGCCCCGGCCTCAGGTGACCCTGGTATAAAAAGGTAAAGTCCGCCCTCTAGTGGTCAAAGTGGAGAATCACCTTTCTTCACTAAAGATACATGGAGCATTCAAAATGTAATTTATTTAGTTTAGTTTATTTGTTTAAAGTGTCGTGGACAGTCCCCATTGATCAACAGTACATGGGCCATTAGCTTTAGCCAACATGGCTCATTTCCAGCTGATCTCCTCAGCCAGATGATAACAGACACCTTTTTAAAATCACAACACATTGCCATATCTACACTGTAGCTGCTACATGACAGGAAAGCCTTGAAACGTGATGCTTCCACAAGTGTTCATGATATCAGACGTGTTGGTTTGACCCGGTTCTCTCCCCCCATTTTGTTTCCCCTGATGTTTATTTTATTTTATTTAATGTATTAGTCCCAGACTGAGATCAATACATTCCTTTTAATTTGTATTCCCCCCCCCCCCCCTCAGGAGACGTGGTACTGGCCGGGCGATGTGAGTGCTGACTCTGTGGTGATGAGCGGGGTCCGATGCTCCGGCACTGAGATGTCTCTGAACCACTGCCTGCACCACGGGGCCCACCTCAGCTGCTCCAAGGGGGGGGGGCCGCAACGCCGCCGGGGTCTCCTGCTCAGAGAGTAAGATCACTACACTTCATTTTATTTAGTCGTCAACATAATAATATAATACTAAGAACTAAACCGATGATTAATGCCAGGTGCCAGTGACAGAACCATTTCCCCACCTTTCTGACTTCCTTCCCCCTCCGTGTCCTGCACTATACGCTGTATATAAGTACACAGACTGTATATAAGTACACAGACTGTATATAAGTACACACACTGTATATAAGTACACAGACTGTATATAAGTACACAGACTGTATATAAGTACACACACTGTATATAAGTACACACACTGTATATAAGTACACAGACTGTATATATGTACACACACTGTATATATGTACACACACTGTATATAAGTACACAGACTGTATATAAGTACACACACTGTATATAAGTACACACACTGTATATAAGTACACAGACTGTATATATGTACACACACTGTATATATGTACACACACTGTATATAAGTACACAGACTGTATATAAGTACACAGACTGTATATATGTACACACACTGTATATAAGTACACAGACTGTATATAAGTACACATACTGTATATAAGTACACAGACTGTATATAAGTACACACACTGTATATAAGTACACAGACTGTATATAAGTACACAGACTGTATATAAGTACACAGACTGTATATAAGTACACAGACTGTATATAAGTACACAGACTGTATATAAGTACACACACTGTATATAAGTACACAGACTGTATATATGTACACACACTGTATATAAGTACACAGACAGTATATATGTACACAGACAGTATATATGTACACACACTGTATATAAGTACACACACTGTATATAAGTACACAGACTGTATATAAGTACACAGACTGTATATATGTACACACACTGTATATAAGTACACAGACAGTATATAAGTACACAGACTGTATATAAGTACACAGACTGTATATATGTACACACACTGTATATAAGTACACAGACAGTATATATGTACACAGACAGTATATATGTACATACACTGTATATAAGTACACACACTGTATATAAGTACACAGACAGTATATATGTACACAGACTGTATATATGTACACACACTGTATATAAGTACACACACTGTATATAAGTACACAGACTGTATATAAGTACACAGACTGTATATATGTACACACACTGTATATAAGTACACACACTGTATATAAGTACACATACTGTATATAAGTACACAGACAGTATATATGTACACAGACTGTATATATGTACACACACTGTATATAAGTACACAGACTGTATATAAGTACACAGACAGTATATATGTACACACACTGTATATAAGTACACAGACAGTATATATGTACACACACTGTATATAAGTACACAGACTGTATATAAGTACACAGACAGTATATAAGTACACACACTGTATATAAGTACACAGACAGTATATATGTACACAGACTGTATATATGTACACACACTGTATATAAGTACACAGACTGTATATATGTACACACACTGTATATAAGTACACAGACTGTATATATGTACACACACTGTATATAAGTACACAGACTGTATATATGTACACACACTGTATATAAGTACACAGACTATATATAAGTGCACACACTGTATATAAATACACACACTGTAAACAGTGAATATAAGTAAAAACAGTGTATGTACACACACTGTATATAAGTACACACACTGTATATAAGTACACACTCTGTATATAAGTACACACACTGTATATAAGTACACAGACTGTATATATGTACACACACTGTATATAAGTACACAGACTGTATATATGTACACACACTGTATATAAGTACACAGACTATATATAAGTGCACACACTGTATATAAATACACACACTGTAAACAGTGAATATAAGTAAAAACAGTGTATGTACACACACTGTATATAAGTACACACACTGTATATAAGTACACACACTGTATATAAGTACACACACTGTATATAAGTACACACTCTGTATATAAGTACACACACTGTATATAAGTACACATACTTCCACTAAAATTCCAGAACCATTTCCCCACCTTTTTTTATCTAATATATCATATTCCAATTACTTGTATATAGACTCTCCTTGCACTATTTCTATTGTATTTTTATTTGTATTTACTTGAACTATTTTAACTATTTTATCAGTTGTACTGTGTTGCTCTGTTGGAGGAGACTGTGGCCTGAGATGTTCATTGTCATATATACACTATGTACTAGGGATGTAACGATATACTGAATATCGTGGTATCGCGGTAAATAAACGTCCCAATACCGTCGTGAGACAAAATCTACCGCGATTTAAAAAATATATATATATTTTTTTCAAACACTTGTTTTAGTTTTAAACCTTTATTTAACCAGGTGGTCCCATTGAGATCATCGATCTCTTTTTCAAGAGAGACCTGTGGCAGCAAGTAGGTTACAACATGAACATGAAACACCAGAACACAAAAGGACATGGTATTTACAGTGCTACATGTTCACACCTAGAGACATGGACAAGTACCAACAGTATATTTATATCTCTGTCAATAAGCCTCACCTTCTTGGCAAACACTGTATTGTTGTTGAAGTGGTGGAGAGACAATGCACAGTTTGACCCACTGCTGTCACCCATGGCCAAAGCATATCTCTCCGTCCCACTGAGGTGGCGTTAGACTTTTTCGCTGTCTGTCATTATGACGGATCGTAAAATATCCATCATAATCCCTTATTACCCGTCGGGTCTGAACAGAGAGAGAGAGCACGCTCGTGAACTGTCAAGGGGGGGGGCGATGTTATGCCGTGTGTGCATGCACCTCGCGGGAGCGCGCACAGCGTAAAGCAAAACCTCCCAGACATGTATTGATCTGTACGGAAAAGTACGGTTTGGAACCTATATCATTTCCTTTTGGAGGGCATGCATAACACGGCATAACACCAGAGCCTCGCTGCGGGGAAACGTTGGCGCTAGTTTGTTCTAATCTGTCAAAATGACAGACTGCTTTCAGATTTTTCCGTCATTGTTAAATAAAATATTCGGTTAACGCGACCACTGCTGTCCCAGCAACATCAGTACCAAGCGAGAGAGTTGTTTCCAGAGCAGGGGATTTTGTAAACGCCCAAACATCCCAGCTTATAAATACCTGGAAATGTGGACATTCTCATATTCCTAAGAACCTGTCTGATGATGCTGAGTGAGTGACTAGTGAGTTTGAGTTACTTGAAAAACTAAAGTGAAACTTGATTTATTTTATTGCAGGGTCTGATTATTAAATGTCCTTGTTTATTTGTGAGATGCAGTGGCACAAAGAAAAGGCCTACTTTGTTTGGTAGTACTATAAGGTACAAAAACACTGGTTTTCTTGTTCCAGTCTGTTACTGTCACTTTGATTTTTACACTTTAAAATACTGCTATCCTACTCAACTGCTGTACAAATCAGATTTATTATGTAATAAAGAAACATTTTCCGAGTATAATTATTATTTTTTTCTTTATTATTCAATATCGTGATAAATACCGTACCGTGGACTTGTTATCGCGATATTATCGTACCGTGAGTTTTTGGTATCGTTACATCCCTACACATGACAATAAATGCCTTGAGTCCTTGAATCCTCTCTAACCTCCCCTCCCCCCCAGCGGCCCCGGACCTGGTCCTGAACCCTCAGGCTGTGGAGCAGACGACCTACATGGAGGACCGGCCCATGTTCATGATGCAGTGCGCCCAGGAGGAGGGCTGCCTCTCCTCCTCCTCCAGCCTCACGCCGGCCACCTCGTACCGCCGCCTGCTGCGCTTCAGCTCGCGGATCCACAACAACGGCCAGTCCGACTTCAGGCCCAAAGCGGGGCGAAACTCCTGGGTGTGGCACGACTGTCACAGGTCAGAAACACCACGTTATTTTAAACCATTCATGCACCGAATGATACGTGCAGCGGCCACAAAATCACAGAGCAACAAAACAGAAAATTGAAGGTCTCCGATCATGCAAAATGCACTTTTTGATTTCTTCTCTACATCAATATGTGTCCCCGGTGTGCCTCCGGTGTGCCTCCGGTGTGTCCCTGTGTGTCCCCGGTGTGTCCCTGTGTGTCCCCGGTGTGCCTCCGGTGTGTCCCTGTGTGTCCCCGGTGTGTCCCCGGTGTGTCCCTGTGTGTCCCCGGTGTGTCCCTGTGTGTCCCCGGTGTGTCCCTGTGTGTCCCCGGTGTGTCCCCGGTGTGTCTCCGGTGTGTCCCCGGTGTGTCCCCGGTGTGTCCCCGGTGTGTCCCCGGTGTGCCTCCGGTGTGTCCCCGGTGTATCCCCGGTGTGTCCCCGGTGTGTCCCCGGTGTGTCAGGAGACTCTCAAAGTGTCAGGAAATAAACCCCTCTCTCTTTTCCTCCGTACCCACATCTCTAAAAACGGGGAACAACGGAGCTGATCAAGATTTGCTGCGTCATGACCACATTACTAAAATGTGGGCGGGCTTTACCCCCACGGGCAGTGTTGTTACTGTAACGCCGTTATTTTTGTCAGTAACTAGTACTCTAACGCATTACTTTTTAAATCCAGTAACTCAGTTACCGTTACTACCTGGTGCGTTACTCCGTTACTGCGTTTTTATATAGTCAACAGCCAGGCGAACAGAGATGAGAACTGTACTTAAGTACTTGAGTAAATGTACTTAGATACTTCCTGTGTCACATGCGGAGACGGGCTGTGGGCGTGTTTGTGTTGTTTACTAACAAGACTATCATGGCGGCGGCGGAGCTCAAGTCTAGTTTCTCCACCTGGAGATATTCTCACTATTTCACTTTTGTCGAGCACAAAGAAAAGAACGTTTTAGTTAAATGTAAGTTGTGTCTTGGCGGGTCAAAGATCCTATCTACTGCCCAAACCAGTCATTCAAATCTCTTAAAACATCTGCAAAAACAACATGCTGGGACGAAGCTAGTAGCTAAGACCACAGAGACTCAGCCGACGCCACTCCACCTCCACCTAAGCAACAGCGGCTGGATTTTAACCGAGGGACTGCTGGCCAGGGAAAAGTGGATAAAGCCATTGCACGGTATGTTGTAGAACACATGCAGGCTATTGCTACAGTGGAGTCACCCGCTTTCAGGGAGCTAGTTAGCATGATAGCATGTCCGGGCGGCACACGGCATATGGGACGGAACACTTTTTCCAACTACCTGGAGAAAGAATATACAAAAATGGAAAGCCAGCTAATATCGATGCAATCCAGATTGCATATAATGCATGTCAAGTTGATCAACAGATTGTATTATTCTCCAATGCAATAACAGTACTGAAATGAAGGCTATAAGGGCATTAATGGGAGCCCTTTGTTAAAGTAACTAAAACGTTACTTTTCACAGTAACGCATTACTTTCTGGTGTTAGTAATCAGTAAAGTAACTGAGTTACTTTTGAAGTAACTAGTAATGGTAACTAGTTACTGGTTTTCAGTAACTAGCACAACACTGCCCACGGGCCAATCAGAAACGTTGCTGTCAGAAGCAATGACACGTGTTCTGGAAGTAATATGGTCTGTGTTCACATTAGCATGCTAACACTCAGAGCTAACCTGTACTGAAGAGAGTGTGTGTGAAGAAGCAGGAAATCAAAAGGAAGTCACCTTGTGGTAAACCTGAGAGAGAGAGAGTTTGAGCTCCATCCTGTTTCAGAGAGAATCCTTGATGTGGTTTGGAACATGATATGGAGTTTCATCACGGCAGCATTTAGCTGAGTTTCTGCTGGGAGAGTTCTGATGAGATCTACTCTCTGAAGCTGTGTGTGTGTGTGTGTGTGTGTGTGTGTGTGTGTGTGTGTGTGTGTGTGTGTGTGTGTGTGTGTGTGTGTGTGTGTGTGTGTGTGTGTGTGTGTGTGTGTGTGTGTGTGTGTGTGTGTGTGTGTGTGTGTGTGTGTGTGTGTGTGTGTGTGTGTGCAGGCATTACCACAGCATGGAGGTGTTCACCCTCTACGACCTGTTCACTCTCAATGGGACTAAAGTGGCAGAAGGACACAAAGCCAGTTTCTGTCTGGAGGACTCGGAGTGCGATGAAGGTTAGGAACAACACAAATGTTATGTTTGAAAAAAGTCTAAATTAATAGTAGTTGAAAAATGTATTCGTGAAAAAAATAAAAGTTAAATTCGCAGGAAAAAAAAATCTAAATTCTGAAAAAAAAGTAAAAGATTTAAAAAAAAACTTGAATTACTAGAAAAAGTAAAATTATGACAAAAAATTGAAATTATGTGAAGAAGTCAAAATTAATAATAGTTCAAATTTGTATTCTTAAAAAAAAGTGAATTTCTGAGAAAAGACAACATTTGAAAAAAAAACACGAATTTAGGAAAAAAGTCAAAATTCTGGAGAAAAAAACGTGGATTTTTGGTATTTTTGACATTTTGTGAAAACTTTTCAGCAAATAGTTAATTCATTTCGTCTCGCTTCCCTGCAGGTATTGAGAAGAGATATGAATGTGCTAACTTTGGGGAGCAGGGCATCACAGTCGGCTGCTGGGATACGTACCGACACGACATCGACTGCCAGTGGATCGACATCACAGACATCAAACCTGGAGACTACATCTTCCAGGTGAGCAAAGAGCCACAAAACTGAGACAATACAGACAATAATTAAAGAACATGTAAAGAGATATAAAGGAAATAATTCATATTGTAATATTGGGGGAAATAAAAGTCCTAAGAGAAATACATTTAAAAAAAAACTAATTAATAACACTATATATAAATGAGGCAGATAACAAAGTTCTTCCTATTTTCCATTTTGATTCTATTTTCTTGCCTCATTATTGACTAAATAAAGAGTGATATATGTTGACATGTTGATATTCCCCCTCACAGATCGTGATTAATCCAAACTACGAGGTGCCGGAGTCGGACTACAGCAACAACATCATGAAGTGCAGATGTCGGTACGACGGACACCGGGTCTGGATGTACAGCTGCCATAACGGTGAGGAAAAAGTCAAATTATGTTTGAAAAAAGTCAAAATTAATAATAGTTGAAAAATTCAGAGAACAAAATCAAAATTCGGAAAGAAAACTTTAATTTTTGGAAAAAGTCTAATTGTGACTATAACATCTAATTATGTTTGAAAAAAGTCAAAATTAATAAAAAAAAGATAAATTCTGAGAAAAAAGTGAAATTCTGAAATAAAACATGAATTTATGAAAAAAAAGTCAAAATGTTCAAATCTGAAAAAAACTAGAATTTTCTGAAAAAGTCTAAATTAATAATAGTAAACATTAAGAGACGGCAATCACTTATCTCGCAAATGTAGGTAAACTATTCTTGACCTACCTTCCCTTCAGTTAGTCTGCTTTTGTATCAACTTGAATTCACTGTATTTATCTGAAGAGTGGGCTCATTAACACATGAATACTCCTGTGTTACATTACATTGCATTTAGCTGACACTTTTATCCAAAATGACTTACAATAAGTACATTCGACCAGGAAGACACAACCTTGAAGAAAACAGAATCATAAAGTACATCAGGTTTCATAGAGCCAAACATTTCAAGTGCTACTCAACTGGCTTTAGATAAGCCAGTCCTTTGTTAGTATATAAGTGCTTCGTTAATAGTTCTATCGCTCGAAGTGGAGTCGAAAGAGATGAGTGTTATATCTGTTTGCATATATATTTAAGAAGTAAGCCGTACTCCATTATACTTGAAGAATTAGGTTAGGGACAATTAAAAAAGGGACCACGGGCCGCAGTTTGGACACCCCAATGACTTTAAAAAATGTGTTTTTACATGTTATACTAGGCAAGGCAAGGCAAGTTTTGTTTTTGTTTAATTGGAGAAAGTTCTGACTCATCCAGTCATTGACGTGCTCAATGCACTTACTCAGTGTTGTAATTGGAGAGTAGTCTACTGGTGAAATTGTTATATACATTTGGGTGTCATCTGCATAGCTATGATAACTTTGGTCATTGTTTTTCATTATTTGAGCCAGTGGTAGCACGTAGATATTAAAAAGCAGAGGTCCTAAGATAGAGCCTTGAGGAACCCCACATGTAATATTTGTCAAAGCTGATGTGTAGTTGCCTATAGAGACACTAGTGCATTTTTTATGATTTGTTTTAGGACATACTATACTATGAAGGTTTGGACACCCCCAGGTATAAAGTATGCAGATAAGACCACCTCATATTACTCATTGTAGGTGACGTGTGGAGTTATATATTTACAGATATATATATATTTACAGATATATATAATGTGTGTGTTCCTGCAGGAGGTTCTTTAAGCACTGAGACGGAGGAGACGTTCCCCGGCCTCCTGAACAACCAGGTGACCCACAGGTAGACACTCTGAAGACCCCTGAACAACCAGAGACCCCTGAACAACCAGGTGACCCACAGGTAGACACTCTGAAGACCCCTGCACAACCAGGTGACCCACAGGTAGACACTCTGAAGACCCCTGAACAACCAGAGACCCCTGAACAACCAGGTGACCCACAGGTAGACACTCTGAAGATCCCTGCACAACCAGGTGACCCACAGGTAGACACTCTGAAGACCCCTGAACAACCAGAGACCCCTGAACAACCAGGTGACCCACAGGTAGACACTCTGAAGACCCCTGCACAACCAGAGACCCCTGAACAACCAGGTGACCCACAGGTAGACACTCTGAAGACCCCTGAACAACCAGGTGACCCACAGGTAGACACTCTGAAGACCCCTGAACAACCAGGTGACCCACAGGTAGACACTCTGAAGACCCCTGAACAACCAGAGACCCCTGAACAACCAGGTGACCCACAGGTAGACACTCTGAAGACCCCTGAACAACCAGGTGACCCACAGGTAGACACTCTGAAGACCCCTGAACAACCAGAGACCCCTGAACAACCAGGTGACCCACAGGTAGACACTCTGAAGACCCCTGCACAACCAGAGACCCCTGAACAACCAGGTGACCCACGGGTAGACACTCTGAAGACCCCTGAACAACCAGAGACTCCTGAACAACCAGGCCACCCACAGATAGACACTCTGAAGACCCCTGAACAACCAGGTGACCCACAGGTAGACACTCTGAAGACCCCTGAACAACCAGAGACTCCTGAACAACCAGGTGACCCACGGGTAGACACTCTGAAGACCCCTGAACAACCAGAGACTCCTGAACAACCAGGCCACCCACAGGTAGACACTCTGAAGACCCCTGAACAACCAGAGACTCCTGAACAACCAGGCCACCCACAGGTAGACACTCTGAAGACCCCTGAACAACCAGAGACTCCTGAACAACCAGGCCACCCACAGGTAGACACTCTGAAGACCCCTGAACAACCAGAGACCCCTGAACAACCAGGTGACCCACAGGTAGACACTCTGAAGACCCCTGCACAACCAGGTGACCCACAGGTAGACACTCTGAAGACCCCTGAACAACCAGAGACCCCTGAACAACCAGGTGACCCACAGGTAGACACTCTGAAGACCCCTGCACAACCAGGTGACCCACAGGTAGACACTCTGAAGACCCCTGAACAACCAGAGACCCCTGAACAACCAGGTGACCCACAGGTAGACACTCTGAAGACCCCTGCACAACCAGAGACCCCTGAACAACCAGGTGACCCACAGGTAGACACTCTGAAGACCCCTGAACAACCAGGTGACCCACAGGTAGACACTCTGAAGACCCCTGAACAACCAGGTGACCCACAGGTAGACACTCTGAAGACCCCTGAACAACCAGAGACCCCTGAACAACCAGGTGACCCACAGGTAGACACTCTGAAGACCCCTGAACAACCAGGTGACCCACAGGTAGACACTCTGAAGACCCCTGAACAACCAGAGACCCCTGAACAACCAGGTGACCCACAGGTAGACACTCTGAAGACCCCTGCACAACCAGAGACCCCTGAACAACCAGGTGACCCACGGGTAGACACTCTGAAGACCCCTGAACAACCAGAGACTCCTGAACAACCAGGCCACCCACAGGTAGACACTCTGAAGACCCCTGAACAACCAGAGACTCCTGAACAACCAGGTGACCCACAGGTAGACACTCTGAAGACCCCTGAACAACCAGAGACTCCTGAACAACCAGGTGACCCACGGGTAGACACTCTGAAGACCCCTGAACAACCAGAGACTCCTGAACAACCAGGCCACCCACAGGTAGACACTCTGAAGACCCCTGAACAACCAGAGACTCCTGAACAACCAGGTGACCCACAGGTAGACACTCTGAAGACCCCTGAACAACCAGAGACTCCTGAACAACCAGGCCACCCACAGGTAGACACTCTGAAGACCCCTGAACAACCAGGTGACCCACAGGTAGACACTCTGAAGACCCCTGAACAACCAGGTGACCCACAGGTAGACACTCTGAAGACCCCTGAACAACCAGAGACCCCTGAACAACCAGGTGACCCACAGGTAGACACTCTGAAGACCCCTGAACAACCAGAGACTCCTGAACAACCAGGTGACCCATGGGTAGACACTCTGAAGACCCCTGAACAACCAGAGACTCCTGAACAACCAGAGACCCCTGAACAACCAGGTGACCCACGGGTAGACACTCTGAAGACCCCTGAACAACCAGAGACTCCTGAACAACCAGAGACCCCTGAACAACCAGGTGACCCACAGGTAGACACTCTGAAGACCCCTGGACCCCATCCAACATCAGAAAAACTTCTTATAAACTCCTCTTCAAACCATCTTTAAATATCCTCCTTCATCCATGTGGCAGCATCTTTTATTCTTCCTCCCATGAAGCCAAAATGTGTTCAGAGCGATTACAGCTATTTCTGAGTCCTGACAACTATGACTTATTTTGGATACATTAAGACAAAATATGACTTTTTATGGAGACATTTTAACACCCTATACTATGACTTTTTTCCGACATACTATACTAATATTCTTTTTAGACATACTGTATTATCATTTCTTTCCAACATCCTACACTATGACTTTTTCTTGACTAACCATTCTGAAGACTTTGATGGAATTAACTTGTCAGAAAGTGCCAGTTACTTTACAAACGCTGCAGCCCTTCCTGTTCAAAGAGGATTTAAATAAATGATTGAAAAACAACAGCAGGAGTCTGTTTAAAGTGCCTTTCACTTTTTATATAACTCACCCTTTTAAATGTAATTGAGGCTTTAAGTTTTACTTAATAAATGGGGTTGTATCTTTGAGTTGAGGTGGGTGCTGCCACAGGTTGCTAACCACTAGCAGCTAGTTGTTAGCTGCATTTTAGCACTTCCTGTCCCCGGGTCTGGAGGTCAATGGTTTTCTGGATGTGTTTTTGGTCTGAAATAAGCTCTGTGGTTAACACAAGCTGCAGAGATTTTAATTCTACGACATCAAATACGTCAGTAAATACATCTCGGCAATAATCCAAAATCACATGGAGAGATCCCATTGGACGAGGGAGATGCTGCCTTCAGGGTCCAACAGAGAAATACCACATCCCTGATCCACTCTACTCTGAGAAACTAATGCCCCCCCCCCCCCTTTAGACAGTCAGAGTTGCAGATATGACTTACTGTAATTGAAGTTGTTTTTACTGTTTTACTGCTTAAAAACATACGAACAATACCGTGTGTGTTAATGCTATTTTATTGTCCTTTTTTCTAATGGTGCTATCTAACCGGTCCTCTGTTTTCTGAGGGTGCGGTACACGTTGAACAGCTACATTATGTTTACTAACAGTATACTTGAACTGAGCGTATCAAACATTTGCTTTGTGTGTAAAAGTGTAATAAAGGTCTGAGTTATGGAGCAACCAAATATCACATGTTCAGCGTTCATTTATTCTTCACCTTCACTCATTCTTCTTCGATGGGAGGATTTTCTTTCTGAAATAGTATAACATAAGCATGACCTTATATTTAACACATTATACTGTGACTTTAAATAAATGATGGACATAATGTGCTGTTTTTTAGAAAAACATTTGACATACTTTACTATGTTTGTTTTTCCGAATGTGACTTATTGTGGAAACATTTAGACGAACTACGACTTATTGTGGATACATTTAGACGAACTACGACTTATTGTGGATACATTTAGACGAACTACGACTTATTGTGGAAACATTTAGACGAACTACGACTTATTGTGGAAACATTTAGACGAACTACGACTTATTGTGGATACATTTAGACGAACTACGACTTATTGTGGATACATTTAGACGAACTACGACTTATTGTGGAAACATTTAGACGAACTACGACTTATTGTGGATACATTTAGACGAACTACGACTTATTGTGGAAACATTTAGACGAACTACGACTTATTGTGGATACATTTAGACGAACTACGACTTATTGTGGATACATTTAGACGAACTACGACTTATTGTGGATACATTTAGACGAACTACGACTTATTGTGGATACATTTAGACGAACTACGACTTATTGTGGAAACATTTAGACGAACTACGACTTATTGTGGATACATTTAGACGAACTACGACTTATTGTGGAAACATTTAGACGAACTACGACTTATTGTGGATACATTTAGACGAACTACGACTTATTGTGGATACATTTAAACGAACTACGACTTATTGTGGATACATTTAGACGAACTACGACTTATTGTGGATACATTTAGACGAACTACGACTTATTGTGGAAACATTTAGACGAACTACGACTTATTGTGGATACATTTAGACGAACTACGACTTATTGTGGAAACATTTAGACGAACTACGACTTATTGTGGATACATTTAGACGAACTACGACTTATTGTGGAAACATTTAGACGAACTACGACTTATTGTGGATACATTTAGACGAACTACGACTTATTGTGGATACATTTAGACGAACTACGACTTATTGTGGATACATTTAGACGAACTACGACTTATTGTGGAAACATTTAGACGAACTACGACTTATTGTGGATACATTTAGACGAACTACGACTTATTGTGGATACATTTAGACGAACTACGACTTATTGTGGATACATTTAAACGAACTACGACTTATTGTGGATACATTTAGACGAACTACGACTTATTGTGGATACATTTAGACGAACTACGACTTATTGTGGATACATTTAGACGAACTACGACTTATTGTGGAAACATTTAGACGAACTACGACTTATTGTGGAAACATTTAGACGAACTACGACTTATTGTGGAAACATTTAGACGAACTACGACTTATTGTGGAAACATTTAGACGAACTACGACTTATTGTGGATACATTTAGACGAACTACGACTTATTGTGGATACATTTAGACGAACTACGACTTATTGTGGATACATTTAGACGAACTACGACTTATTGTGGATACATTTAGACGAACTATGACTTATTGTGGATACATTTAGACGAACTACGACTTATTGTGGATACATTTAGACGAACTACGACTTATTGTGGATACATTTAGACGAACTACGACTTATTGTGGATACATTTAGACGAACTACGACTTATTGTGGATACATTTAGACGAACTACGACTTATTGTGGATACATTTAGACGAACTACGACTTATTGTGGATACATTTAGACGAACTACGACTTATTGTGGATACATTTAGACGAACTACGACTTATTGTGGATACATTTAGACGAACTACAACTTATGGATATATTTAGACAAACTGACGTATTATGGATACATTTAGACATCCTATACTATGCCTTTTTCTCAACAAACCATTCTGTGACTTTTTTGACAAAATTCCACTGAAGATTAACATCAGAATTACATTACAATACATCATTTACATAAATGTCCAAAAACCATGAAGATAGAGACGTACTGTAGGAACATTAGCTATAAATAAGTAAAACAATGTAACTGTAACGTACAGCAGTGAGATTTTATTTTTCAGAACGGACATTACTTTCTTTTTCCCCACCAAGAAATATGAAAAATGTGAATACATGACATGTCAGACGCTTTTATCCAAAGCGACTCACATACTCAACACTGTGGACGATCCCCACAGGAGCAATGTGGGGTGAGGCGTCTCAGGGACACAACGACATGCTGACTGCAGTGGGGTTTGAACCTGTGACCCCCTGATCCCAACACCAACGCACTAGTCCACTGCGCCACACGCCTCCCAGTAAAAGAAAATGTGGTAAAAATAGTAATATAATAATCTGAAGTTTAAGAAAAATGTCGAATAGAAGATACAATAAAAATATGTAAACATAGATAACAAGTAAAAAAAAAAGAAATAAAATGAAAAAAATTCCAATAATAAGTAGAATAAAAATGTTACACATTATACTACAATTTATACTATGTATATTACAAGATATACACAGGTGGATTAGTTGTATTAACAGCACTGCAGCAGCACTGCCCCCTTGTGGCTCAAAACAAACACTACACTGCAGAAGAAAGTGGTTTCACAAAAAAACTGATGTTTTGGGATCCATTCAATCGCTATCCCAGCATGCATTGCTGTATACGGTACAGAAAAAGGTAAATAAAAGAACAAATATGTTTTAAAAAATTGATAAGTACTTATTTAAAGTGAAGATGTGCAGCTTTACTTGGTTGTAAATAGGCATTATTACTGATAGGAAAAAGTTGTATAATGCTGTGAGCAGTGGCTTTGCATTGTGGGTAATGTAGTCACCAGGTCACACTATTAAAGGGTTCCTATTGTGCTTTATGTAGGTTTTAGTGCATGTAAATGGTCTACAAAGGCTAACATGTTCGTTCCTTCTGTAACACGCATGTGGTTTCCATCTCTGGGTTAAAGTTCAAATGTATTTCATATCTCTGTTGTTAAAAACCCACACAGAAGAATGCATGACTTACTGATCCTGGTGAGGGTTTCCTTTCTACAAAAGTCAGAGGTCAGTGAAAATCAGACGAGCCACTGAGGCGTCGTGGTGTTCTCAGATCCTACGTCTCTCTCCGCTCCTGTGAGAATAAAACCAATGTTTCAAAAATCCCTACGACTATTAAATATCGCCCTTGAAAGCAGACCAAGTTGAACCGAAGCCCTGGAGTCCGTTCAACTCTTGGATCCTAAATTCTCGACTGTAAATCATAAAAAAAGCACCAGGAACTTGGTGTCTTGTTTGCAAGATTGATTCATAAGATGTGAAAAAAGACATGACAATCAGGATCCAGCACCGTGTTAAAATCTGTACACTTTTTATTTGTCAGCATACACCTTTTAGATCAAAAAAATAAATAAATGGATTTCAACTGAAAAAAGAAACGTAGAAAAGTCCAGTCAACAGAACTCCTGATAAATAAACTAAACCAACAATCATACATGACATTTTATCTTTAGAAATCACGATAAAAGGTTGATCTTTTGTGCAATGGCATTCAGAAATCTGTACGTGTACATCTAGTCATTTTATACTCTAACATTACATACAGCAGTTTGTCCAACATTTGTAAAGATTTTATAAACATTACATCATTATTTCAGCTTCACAGGTAAGGTCTGGTCACACCCGGAGGTTGTGCAGGGAATTTAAATTGTGCTTTTCTGCAAAGTATTTTGTGCTAGAAGCTCGGATACAGTCTCACAGGGCTAGCCAGACATCTGCTGTAGCTAGCTGCTAACTCTGGCTAGAAAACCGCTAACTCTGGCTAGAAAACCGCTAACTCTGGCTAGCAAACCTCTAACTATGACTAGCAAACCGCTAACTCTGGTTAGCAAACCGCTAACTCTGGTTAGCAACCCGCTTACTCTGGCTAGCAAACCGCTAACTCTGGCTAGCAAACCACTAACTGGCTAGCAACCCGCTTACTCTGGCTAGCAAACCGCTAACTCTGGCTAGCAAACCTCTAACTATGGCTAGCAAACCTCTAACAGTGTGAGAAAAAGTTTTTAGAGAGTACTTGTCCATGGACAAGTGAGTTTGGTAATGTACTTGTCCGAATACATTTTTCACTTGTCCAGAATGGACAAAAATTGGGGCCACTGGAATCTTCTTCTTCGTCATCGTATTTTACATTTTCCCACGGTTTTTACGACACCGCTAACGTAAGTGAGCGGTGAGATTTTACTGCATCACACAAAGGGTTGGGTATCGTTTGGATTTGAACGATTCTGGTTCTGCTTTTTGATTCCGGTTATTTTCGGTTCTCAATTCCGGTTCTTTGAGAGGGTAAAAATAAGTCAAACTGGGAGAAAAATATATTTATGAAAAGATTAAGTCAAATCTGTATTCCTATTTACAAATCACTTCATACTGTTGAATTTCTTACGGTTATTGAATACAATTATATAAAAATAATCTCTGCATTGTTTAGTTAGTTCTGGTGCAGTTTGAGAATGTACAATTGGCCCAGTCTCCTCTGATGTTACACAACCTGCCTGTGAGACAAAGTCCAACCACACATGTCCAACACATAGGACATAACCTAATAATAATAATAATAATAATGACACATTAGATGTATAGCCTATAGGCCTAGCGCTTTTCTACAACTCAAATACGCTTACACATGTCCTGCAATACACATGCTGCAGCTGCCCAGCTGCTCACTGTTTGTAAAAGTAAATAAATAGTATTTTCATTTCAATAATGTACCTTCTATACCCTGCTTCATAAACAATACTGACATCCAGTGGCATGCACAGACATTTATAGGGGCAGGTGCTCAAGAGAAAAAAAAGGGGCACCTTCTGAGTCGTTGTGGCGGTCGCGCCGAAATTGTGCACTCCGAAATTGTGCGCAAAAATTTGCCGGATAATGGCGGATTTTGTTACGTTTCTTTTTGGTTTTTGGTTACTTTATTTCGGGGTTAGGGTTATGTTATTTAATTCTTATTTTTACCTGATTTTACTGATTTATTATCAACATTTTTATTATTTTAACATTTATTTTTATTATTCTAAATGACTTAGGGGGGTCCAATCTGAAGCTAGGGGGGATGAAACCCCCCCCCCCCCCCGGGATTGACGCCCCTGGTGGAACCGCCGGCTGCCTTAGTAGTGTGAGATTTATTAAAGGCACATCTTGTATGTCGTAATTGCATATATATTTATTTCAATAACCATATGCTATCTGATGCAGATGCCTATCTAAAACAAATCAAATAGTAGGCTTACTAGCTTCTACACGCTGAAGCAACTGTAGTCAGGGATGCAAACTCATCAGGTATGAAAAAGGTGACAAGGATCCGAGCCCCCGACCCCACGGAATATCGGCTTTAAAATGAGGAATAACAGAGGATTTTAGCAGTCAGAACAACTAAAGCAGCAGGTAATAATAACAGAAACGCCAAAGAGTTACATCTAATAGAAATATATAAAAGCATTTATTTTAATTGTGTAGCAGTCAGTTTATAATTTTGGCAGCACTGTTGAGCATTTTGAAAATGTATTTTCATGCCTCTTAGTATTTTTATAATACTTTTCTACTTTCACTTGAGGAACATTTTGAATGCAGGATTTTTACTGTAACAGAGTATTCCTACACTGTGGTACTTCTACTTTTACTCAAGTACAAGATCTGAGTACTTCTACTTTTATTAAGTACAAGATCTGAGTATTTCTACTAAAGTACAAGATCTGAATACTTCTACTTTTACTCAAGTACAAGATCTGAGTACTTCTACTACTAACAGCTGTTCACCAGCGGCTCAGTCTGTGCCACAGTGACTCCGCACAGTTAACGAACGCACCGTAGATAATGTAGCTGACCCTCATCCCGGAGCAGCAGAGTTCAGCCGGCCCGACAGGCAAGAAGACTCGAGCACACAGCTCGCGCTTCATATATTAACAAATAACACCATGCGCACATAACAGCTCGCGACCGCAGATTATTTCGGCGATTAGATAAAATGTAAATTATATTTGACGCAACTTTAGTTACATTTCCATGACTTTTCCAAAACTTTGGGAAAAATATTGTTTTCCATAACTTTTCCAGGGCCTGGAATTTGCATTTTGAATTTCCATGACTTTTCCAGGTTTTGAATGACCGTACGGTACGAACCCTGTATAGTTTAGTTTGGCATCTGATTTAGGGGATTAAACAATACACTCGTTGTATTTGTTACCTGTTGGTTACTGACTTGGTCGTCACTAGGGCACTTTTAATCGTGTTGCTGCGTGCTGCTGCACCACACACCCGCCGTGGCCTGTCTGACTGAGTGACTGACTTAGTGATGTGTCGGTCGCGAACGAGCCGGCGCAAAGAGCCGGCTCTTTTAAGTGAACGACGGGAGCCGGCTCTCGCCCGCGAACGAGCCATTTTTGCGGAGGGATCTAGATCGGCATGAAGGCACATTTGCAATGTGCACATTATCCCGCTTATTACATGGCCACATTCTCAACAAAGTAACGACATGACTCCCAATAGTAATGGAAATGCTTTTATGGATTTAGAAAATGATTTTATTGATTTAAAAAATAGTTTTATGTATTGATTTAAATTGACATGCATCCGCTAAGAAAAGTAGTCCGTTGTTACTGTTTGAACTAACGTAGCAACGGCAGGAACTGCTTCGATAGTGTTTTTGATTACAGATTTGAAAACATCGTTGCTTGCTTTAAAAGTAGCTCAATTCATGATGTCAAACCTTGGGAAGTATCTAGATATCCCTGCCCTAATGCTAAAGTAACTGGCAACTGAATATGTGTCGCAGTTTGATGTCTATGTCTGGACCGCTGCGTAACAAGGAGGGTTTCTGCCCCGTTACTTCTCTTCTTACTCCTATAAGAATAAAACACGGAGGACGGAGATCTCTTTTCCTCCCCCTCTACAGACCGCCCAGCAGCTGATCTAAAGCACGCTCCCCTCTCCTGCAGGGGGGCGTGGTCAGCTGCAGCTCCCAGAATCAGCCCCCTGCAAAAACAGCGCTGGATGGAGCAAATGGAGCGAAATGAGGCATGGCTAAAATACAGGATCTTTTTGGTATTTTGAAAAAAAAACTATATTTATATACTTTATATAGGTCGATACAGTAGCCCCTTTTTTTAAATAGTTTTTATAGGTGTTGCTATCTGTTTTGTGTAGTGTGGTTCTACAAGCAAGTCAATGCATTCATTGGGTGGTATCAGAGAGTTGCACGGGTCTGTAAATGCAATGAAAACAATTGGCCACAGCAAATCATTTATATTAAACATGTAATTTTTACTTTTGAATACTTCAGTACAAAGGATGTATTGAATAATTTAAGTGATATATGTGTACAAATATAAATCATTAGTCAAAACAGGGCTACATTTGATTTAATTAAAAGGTATAATATGTGGTAAACTGAAGAGCCGTTTGGGAGCCGAAAGAGCCGGCTCTTCTTGGTGAGCCGAGCCAAATGATCCGGCTCACCAAGAAGAGCCGGAATTCCCATCACTAGACTGACTGTCAGCTCTGCGCGCTGCGCGTTCACGTTGAGAGCAGGGAAGGGAGGGGCTGCAGCCAGGAGTACGGGAGTGCCGCGGGGCACGCGTGGGGATGTCTGACAAAATTACAACGCGCATTTGGGGCATTGTTGTATATATTAGAAGCTTTTAATCCAGAATTGATCGATGTTACCATGAGCCACATACAGTACACTGTAATTTTTTTTTTAAACTGTAAAAAACGAACTTTCAAAAGGGCACATTGCTGTCCAGAGGGCAAAACGGGCAGGTGCTCAAGCACTACCTAGAGTCTATGTGTGCACGTCTCTGCTGACATCCCTGTGCTCCTCTGAGTCTGGGGGTCCGGGGATGTGAGGACAGCGCGAGGACACAGACAGGGAGGTTGCTTTACTTCATAAAAGGAAATGGTGGTCAATATTAACAACATAGGAGTTAAAACGCTTAATAACCTTCATTATGTGTTAGAGAAAGAACATAAGAAAGTTTGACAAAGATGAGGCTGTTAATCGGGCAGCGGATCCGCTGTGTGTAGAAAGAGAGAGAGACGCTGAGCTGCACCGTGCAGCGATCAGCTGATACGGAGCATAGAGAGAGCTGCAGTCCGCGGGGCTCGGCCTCGCCTCCTGTCCTCACAACTCTTATTAATCCCGGTACCGGACAATTGATATTTGTTCCTAATCGGAACCGTGTTTTGCTTCCCAACCCTGCCACTGTGCTACACTTCCCACCCGCCCCGCCCCGTCTAACTGTACAGAAAGCGGCGAGATGCATTTCCTTAGGAATCGACAAGCAGAATCTAAACGAACAATGGCGGACACGTACAATTTGCGATTGAGTTCTGCCTTTTGTAAACTGAATGTATCAATAATTTGTCAATAAATCAGGCCGAAAAACGTCACTTGTCCGCCGGACAAGTCAATTGAAAGATCTACTTGTCCGATATTGTAAATAACACGTCCCGGACGGTGGGACGTGTACTTTTTCGCACACTGCTATGGCTAGCAAACCTCTAACTATGGCTAGCAAACCTCTAACTCTGGCTCGCAAACCTCTAACTCTGGCTAGCAAACCTCTAACTATGGCTAGCAAACCTCTAACTATGGCTAGCAAACCTCTAACTCTGGCTAGCAAACCTCTAACTCTGGCTCGCAAACCTCTAACTCTGGCTAGCAAACCGCTAACTCTGGCTAGCAAACCTCCAACTCTGGCTAGCAAACCTCTAACTCTGGCTAGCAAACAACTAACTCTGGCTCGCAAACCTCTAACTCTGGCTAGCAAACCGCTAACTCTGGCTAGCAAACCGCTAACTCTGGCTAGCAAACCTCTAACTATAGCTAGCAAACCTCTAACTCTGGCTCGCAAACCTCTAACTATGGCTAGCAAACCTCTAACTCTGGCTAGCAAACCTCTAACTCTGGCTAGCAAACCTCTAAGTCTGGCTAGCAAACAACTAACTCTGGCTCGCAAACCTCTAACTCTGGCTAGCAAACCTCCAACTCTGGCTAGCATACCTCTAACTCTGGCTAGCAAACAACTAACTCTGGCTCGCAAACCTCTAACTCTGGCTAGCAAACCGCTAACTCTGGCTAGCAAACCGCTAACTCTGGTGATAACCCAGATTTTACCTTTAAAGTTCTGTTTACTCCCACTTGTGCTTTAATCCTCAGTGTAGACCATTTTAAATAAATAAATAGTTATTAAAGAGGGGGAATGAAGCGCTCAGAAATAGCACGCTTGCTAACGGGCTGTTGTTAGCTTAGCTTAGTAGCTAACGGGATAATTCATGGTTAATTCAAAGGACATACTTGTAGGATTGACTGTTGTCCATTAAAAACATTATTTAAACTGGACACCAGATGTAAAGAAGGTGTCCAATGGGAATTGTTCGCTTAGTGCATTCGTTCTTAGACATTTTATTTTCTTATTTAATTTTTTTGGGTGACTTAACATTGTGGATTCAAGTGAAGATTAAAATGTGCTTTTAAACAACTTCTGTGTTTGGCTCAACTCATTAAATGTCTGAATAAAGACAGCAGCTTAGAAACTTTGAGGTACAAAACAGCAGCTAATTATCTACGGAAGCTATTTAGCTACGGAAGCTACGACAGCTTATTAGCCACCCTTCCAACTCCTGGTTCCTTTAAAGCGTTGTCAAGATGGCTTTCTTTTGGTTAAAAAAAGCTAATGTAAGAGTCAAACTCACCAAAGTTGGACTCAATGTGAAACATCTGAGCTGATTCACCTTTCCCCCCCATTGAGCAAATACCCATTAGCAGCGTTTTCATTGGAATAATAACATTTTGAACCCTGGTGTGACCATCCCTGTTCACATCAACACATTCAAAACCATTACAGGCAATGTCAACTAACAAGAGCACTTTTAATACTTCGGTCAAAGGCAAATCTCACAATAAAATATGGATATATCAGACAGTAGTCACCAAACACTATGCATGGCACAGTTTACAGAAAGAAGCATTGATAATATATAACACACTGAATACAGAGCGGGCACATGTTTTGGCTTTCTTACATTTAAAAGATGCACATTTTTTTAACGATTGACTGGAATGTGTTTATGCTGACGATCTTAAGGGTCGTCAGTTTTAACTATAAGGTCAAACATTATAAAGTAAACATGCAGGAAGATAAATAACACCCTTGAAAGAAATCAGGAATAAAGCAAACAAACCTCTTGATGAAATGCTTTCATAAGATAATAAAGTACAGTATTGGTTTGGATGAGTTCCTTCATTAGACATTAATTACCCTGACGTTTTGGCTTGGAGTGTCCCACAAATAAATATACTAAATGTTGCTTTTTAATCCAAAATAAAGGGTTATTACTCATTAAATTGAGCTAGTTGTCAAACAGATTGCAGACTTTAACCCTTAAAGGTAAGAGGAGGTCAGGAATAAAGATATCTTGGTCATAAAGGATTCTCACGCACATTACATGGAACGGGTCGATTGTAGAGACGCAGTTTTTAGGGTGCAGGTCTTTTGGGGGGTCCTCATTGGAGGGGACACTGATGTGGACCTTGAAGAACTGTTTGATAGCTACAGAAACACAAAGATGAACACAAGACTGAGCCTTAAATAAGACAGAAAATGTGTAATCAATAACAATAACGATTACTTTTTTCACACAGTTCTCAGATCACTGTACAGTTCACAACCTGCCGTCCTGTAATGTAATGGAGAGGACTCTTTAAAGTAGAGACACTACATACTGATATACACCTGAACATCAGCAGGAGAGGACTCTTTAAAGTAGAGACACTACATACTGATATACACCTGAACATCAGCAGGAGAGGACTCTTATACACCTGAACATCAGCAGGAGAGGACTCTTTAAAGTAGAGACACTACATACTGATATACACCTGAACATCAGCAGGAGAGGACTCTTTAAAGAAGAGACACTACATACTGATATACACCTGAACATCAGCAGGAGAGGACTCTTTAAAGTAGAGACACTACATACTGATATACACCTGAACATCAGCAGGAGAGGACTCTTTAAGTAGAGACACTACATACTGATATACACCTGAGCATCACCAGGAGAGGACTCTTTAAAGTAGAGACACTACATACTGATATACACCTGAACATCAGCGGGAGAGGACTCTTTAAAGTAGAGACACTACATACTGATATACACCTGAACATCAGCAGGAGAGGACTCTTTAAAGTAGAGACACTATATACTGATATACACCTGAACATCAGCGGGAGAGGACTCTTTAAAGTAGAGACACTACATACTGATATACACCTGAACATCAGCGGGAGAGGACTCTTTAAAGTAGAGACACTACATACTGATATACACCTGAACATCAGCAGGAGAGGACTCTTTAAAGTAGAGACACTACATACTGATATACACCTGAACATCAGCAGGAGAGGACTCTTTAAAGTAGAGACACTACATACTGATATACACCTGAACATCAGCAGGAGAGGACTCTTTAAAGTAGAGACACTACATACTGATATACACCTGAACATCAGCAGGAGAGGACTCTTTAAAGTAGAGACACTACATACTGATATACACCTGAACATCAGCAGGAGAGGACTCTTTAAAGTAGAGACACAACATACTGATATACACCTGAACATCAGCAGGAGAGGACTCTTTAAAGTAGAGACACTACATACTGATATACACCTGAACATCAGCAGGAGAGGACTCTTTAAAGTAGAGACTCTACATACTGATATACACCTGAACATCAGCAGGAGAGGACTCTTTAAAGTAGAGACACAACATACTGATATACACCTGAACATCAGCAGGAGAGGACTCTTTAAAGTAGAGACACTACATACTGATATACACCAGAACATCAGCAGGAGAGGACTCTTTAAAGTAGAGACTCTACATACTGATATACACCTGAACATCAGCAGGAGAGGACTCTTTAAAGTAGAGACACAACATACTGATATACACCTGAACATCAGAGGAGAGGACTCTTTAAAGTAGAGACACAACATACTGATATACACCTGAACATCAGCAGGAGAGGACTCTTTAAAGTAGAGACACTACATACTGATATACACCTGAACATCAGCAGGAGAGGACTCTTTAAAGTAGAGACACTACATACTGATATACACCTGAACATCAGCAGGAGAGGACTCTTTAAAGTAGAGACACAACATACTGATATACACCTGAACATCAGCAGGAGAGGACTCTTTAAAGTAGAGACACTACATACTGATATACACCTGAACATCAGCAGGAGAGGACTCTTTAAAGTAGAGACTCTACATACTGATATACACCTGAACATCAGCAGGAGAGGACTCTTTAAAGTAGAGACACAACATACTGATATACACCTGAACATCAGCAGGAGAGGACTCTTTAAAGTAGAGACACTACATACTGATATACACCAGAACATCAGCAGGAGAGGACTCTTTAAAGTAGAGACTCTACATACTGATATACACCAGAACATCAGCAGGAGAGGACTCTTTAAAGTAGAGACACTACATACTGATATACACCTGAACATCAGCAGGAGAGGACTCTTTAAAGTAGAGACACAACATACTGATATACACCTGAACATCAGAGGAGAGGACTCTTTAAAGTAGAGACACAACATACTGATATACACCTGAACATCACCCATTAGGTCCCAATCACAAGCGATGCCAGAAACCCTGGTGAACGTTGTCCTTTCTTGTGATTATCATTGGATTTTCATAGTGTTTTCTGTCTCAACATTCCCAACTAGACCAAAAGCTTTAACCTCCAACTGCCACATGAACTGCTTTTCAACATATACCTTAATTTATCTCAATTCAACACTTTAGCAGAACCTTGAACCCCATTCAGTGCTTCAACCTACATTTAAAAGTATCTTATATCAGGGTTTAGTCTTCACCGGGTAACAGGAGCGCTGCGCCCTCAAACCAAAATGCAGAATATCTCTGAAAAATGTTAAAGGGATGCCAGAAAACAATATTTCTGTTCCTGTATAGTTCCTCCAGAAATCTGAGTATCAAGCAGAGCGTCAGACGGCAGAGACGTTTTTGTATTTACGGAGCTCCGACGTTACGTTGTTGTTTACGTCAGGAGACATCTTGCATGTTCTCCAGATAATTGATATATCTTATAAACAAGATCAGAGACACAGTACTCATACTAGGCTATATCTTTCTAGAAAACCCCCTGCAATATTTCTACCTTAATTGATATTGCCAATACTGAATGAACTACTCGCTAACACCTTTGAACGCTAACACCTTGACTGACAAATCTAACTTTGGTGTTCCTAAAACTGAATTAGTCAGGGTTTCAGTTATAGAAGTAGAAAAACCAGAGTGGATTCTGTATTCAAATAATAGTGAAAATGTTAGCTGAGGCTCTTGGACTTTTTTATTTGGTGCGTTTCTTTACGCTGAACACAAACTGTTCCGCCCTTGACTGACACTGATAGATATGCAGGATTTGGTCTAAATCAGATAATCTGTCTGCTGTCTCTCCACATGCAGACCACTCTTACACAACAGTTCAAACTAAGCCATCTCTATCTCACACACATTGCAAAACACTGCGTCTACAGCTCGGTTTGTTGGAAGAAGCATTGAGCGTTTGTTTATGGTGTTGAAACCAAAAGCAGGTATTGTTCAGTCAGGTATTTATGAAGAAGGTGCGAACATACAGTGGGGCAAACAAGTATTTAGTCAGCGACCAATTGTGCAAGTTCTCCCACTTAAAAAGATGAGAGCGGCCTGTAATTTTGATCCTAGGTACACTTCAACTATGAGAGACAGGATGGGGGGAAAGAATCCAGGAAATCACATTGTAGGATTTTTAATGAATGAATTGGTAAATTCCTCGGTAAAATAAGTATTTGGTCACCTACAAACAAACAAGATCTCTGGCTCTCACAGACCTGTAACTTCTTCTTTAAGAGCCTCCTCTGTCCTCCACTTGTTAACTGTATTAATGGCACCTGTTTGAACTCGTTATCAGTATAAAAGACACCTGTCCACAACCTCAAACAGTCACACTCCAAACTCCACTATGGCCAAGACCAAAGAGCTGTCAAAGGACACCAGAAACTAAATTGTAGACCTGCACCAGGCTGGGAAGACTGAATCTGCAATAGGTAAGCAGCTTGGTGTGAAGAAATCAACTGTGGGAGCAATTATTAGAAAATGGAAGACATACCAGACCACTGATAATCTCCCTCGATCTGGGACTCCACGCAAGATCTCACCCCGTGGGGTCAAAATGATCACAAGAACGGTGAGCAAAAATCCCAGAACCACACGGGGGGTCCTAGTCAATGACCTGCAGAGAGCTGGGACCAAAGTAACAAAGGCTACCATCAGTAACACACTACGCCGCCAGGGACTCAAATCCTGCAGTGCCAGACGTGTCCCCCTGCTTAAGCAAGTACATGTCCAGGCTCGTCTGAAGTTTGCTAGAGAGCATTTAGATGATCCAGAAGAGGATTGGGAGAATGTCATATGGTCAGATGAAACCAAAATAGAACTTTTTGGTAAAAACTCAACTAGACGTGTTTGGAGGAGAAAGAATGCTGAGTTGCATCCAAAGAACACCTACTGTGAAACATGGGGCTGGAAACATCATGCTTTGGGGCTGTTTTTCTGCAAAGGGACCATGACGACTGATCTGTGTAAAGGAAAGAATGAATGGGGCCATGTATCGTGAGATTTTGAGTGACAACCTCCTTCCATCAGCAAGGGCATTGCAGATTAAACGTGGCTGGGTCTTTCAGCATGACAATGATCCCAAACACACCGCCCGGGCAACGAAGGAGTGGCTTCGTAAGAAGCATTTCAAGGTCCTGGAGTGGCCTAGCCAGTCTCCAGATCTCAACCCCATAGAAAGTCTTTGGAGGGAGTTGAAAGTCCGTGTTGCCCAGCGACAGCCCCAAAACATCACTGCTCTAGAGGAGATCTGCATGGAGGAATGGGCCAAAATACCAGCAACAGTGTGTGAAAACCTTGTGAAGACTTACAGAAAACGTTTGACCTCTGTCATTGCCAACAAAGGGTATATAACAAAGTATTGAGATGAACTTTTGTTATTGACCAAATACTTATTTTCCACCATAATTTGCAAATAAATTCTTTAAAAATCAGACAATGTGATTTTCTGGATTTTTTTTCTTCTCATTCTGTCTCTCATAGTTGAGGTATACCTAGGATGAATATTACAGGCCTCTCTCATCTTTTTAAGTGGGAGAACTTGCACAATTGGTGGCTGACTAATTACTTTTTTGCCCCACTATATGTGGACCAACAGAGAAGGTGGAAGAAGTACTTAGATCCTAAACCTAAGAAAAAGTAGAAAAACTATGGTCTTAAAAGAATAAAAGTCCTACATTTGAGAAACCAATTAAGAAGTACAGAAGTATTGTCAGTTAAATCTACTTCAAGTGTCCCATCCATCTTCTCCCGCTTATCCGTGGTCGGGTCTCGGGGGTAGCAGTTCCAGCAGAGAGCCCCAAACGTTCTTTCCCCTCATCAACCAGCTCTGACTGGGGGATCCCAAGGCGCTCCCAGGCCAGCAAA